CACATGGAGGTACAGGTGTGTTTGAGGGCCTGTCTTTAGAAAATGTCAGGGTCTTATGAGAGGAAGCCACACCTTTCCTGAACACTGCACTGGCATCCTCTTTACTCCTCCAGCAGTGCTGCCCTGATATTTTTATAGAAGGTGTGCCTGGTTTTCTGCATGTAATGTACATGTTATGTTTGTAAGATTATAGCTGAAATTACACTCAGTAAGTACTGACTTTACACTAGTAAAAACCACATTCGATACCTATTTATGATGCTCTGTAGTGATGCAGCCCAAGTGGGTGTCCTGTCAAGAAATAATGTATCTCAGGGATAAACATTATTAGTTTTCTTTACAGCAATTTGTGACGGCCTAGAAAATTCAAAGTAGCTGTCAGTTTTGTTGTATTGGGCAAGCTGATGAAGGGGGAATCACTTTCTGAAAGCTCATTTTATTGTGTCCCTGTCTGTATATTATTATTATTATACAGGATTTATGTATCACCAACAGTTTACGCAGCACTTTACGACATAAGGGCAGACAGTATAATTACAATTTAATTTAACAGAGGAAGGATCACAGGGCCCTGCTTGTTAGATTAAAGATAGAGTTGCTCTCCAAACGAAGACATGCTCTGCCACTTCTGTGTAGTGTGGTCAACAATTCCACCTTCCTTTCCTCTTATACCTGAGACCTTTCAATGCTATAAATAAACCTAGATTACACCTTGAAGCATTTTCCACGATCTGTCACCTCTTTCTTTTCAATCAACAAACCAACTAGTGCCATGTGATGCAGAGGCCCAGCACTTAGCTAGTCATTGGGTTCTAAGGAGGAATGGATCCTTTCCACTTGACATTGCTTCCACTGTTCTTCAGTGCAGTTAAATACATTGTCAATAGCCTGTCCTAGTCTGTTATTGAAGGGTGAAGGAGCAACAGCAGATTCTGTGCTCTGTTCTTATCACCTAGCTCTCTGTACTGGACTACCAAGATTGTCCAAAGTGGTGGAGTAGGGCTATGCAACCTTTTTCACATTAAATATTGTAGCACATTGTAGTCTTAGGTTGTTTTACATTTTTGCAGTTATAGTTTTACTGCTAATGGCAAGTTAAACTCATTAATTGTTATATACTAATGAATGAGTTTAACTTGCCATTAGCAGCACAATGAATGGAAAAATTGATACACATACAAAATACGTTCAGGCCCAATATATGCTCTTCAGTCTCTGATCATCCCCAATGCATGCGCTTAAGACCTCTGACCACCTCCAATGCATGCACGGTAGACCTCTGACCACCTCCAATGCATGCACGGTAGACCTCTGACCACCCCCAATGCATGCACGGTAGACCTCTGACCACCCCCAATGCATGCACGGTAGACCTCTGACCACCCCCAATGCATGCACGGTAGACCTCTGACCACCCCCAATGCATGCACGGTAGACCTCTGACCACCCCCAATGCATGCACGGTAGACCTCTGACCACCCCCAATGCATGCACGGTAGACCTCTGGCCACCCCCAATGCATGCACGGTAGACCACTGACCACCCCCAATGCATGCATTTCAGTCCTCTGACCATCCTTAATGCATACATTTCAGACCTCTGACCATCCCCAATGCATGCATGTCAAATCTCAGATCAGCCCCAATGCATAAACCCTAAAACTCAGACTGGCCCTAATGCGTAAACTTCAGGCTGCAGATCAGCCACAAACCCTGTACCTTTAGGAATTCAGGGTCCTGCTGTAACTGTGTGGGCAAGCTTCTTCTGCACAGCTCCCCAATGTCCTCAGACACCAAAAATTACATTATAACATAACACTACTTGGGTACTGTAATACATGATGAGGTTGTCTGTGAAAGTGAGGGGATGACTATCGTACAGAGGTGGAACACCTGGGGCTCTTTCTTAACTTGCAGGCTATGCTAGCTCTAATAGTACCACACAGGCTGCACATGACGTAAGAGGAGAGAGAAGACAAGAAAGTATACCGAATACTGAATGAGAATGTCATGTGCTGTGGCATGCGGTTATGTGACATGTATTGAATATAGAGTTGTGAGACCACAGGAGCCCCTGGCATCCTTAATACCCCTTTACCCAACAATTATTCACAACCCCCTTCTATCACCTACCTCTTTTCACCCTCCTCGGATGTCTGTGGACCTGGCCTCTGCCAGTAAAAGTCTTCAAGAATTGAAGATACTGTGAATGTGACTGCCCAGTAGTGAGTTGTGGGTTCTATGGATGATTTCAGGGACGCGTTTGGGACAGATTTTGTAAATGACAGCCTAGTAATTTGTCAGAACAAATGGCAGCATGCCAGCACAAATGGCATTACGGCTCTCCCTGCCTGGGCATGTGTTTTGGGGGTTGTTAATGCCTGTGGGTAGAGCCTGATAGGATTACAGTGGTGCCCATTGTTCTCCCAGTCCTACTGTACATGAGATTACAGGAAGCAGATACACTATATTGCCAAAAGTATTGGGAACGCCTGCCTTTACATGCACATGAACTTTAATGGCATCCTGGTCTTAGTCGGTAGGGTTCAATATTGAGTTGGCCCACCCTTTGCAGCTATAACAGCTTCAATTCTTCTGAGAAGGCTGTCCACAAGGTTTAGGAGTGTGTCTATGGGAATGTTTTACTATTCTTCCAGAAGCGCATTTGTGAGACCAGGCACTGATGTCAGACGAGGAGGCCTGGTGCGCAGTCTCTGCTCTAATTCATCCCAAGGTGTTCTGTTGGGTTGAGGTCAGGACTCTGTGCAGGCCAGTGAAGTTCCTCCACCCCAAACTTGCTCATCCATGTTTTTATGGACCTTGCTTTGGTCTGGTGCGCAGTCATGTTGGAAAAAACAGTTGGGGGCATGAAATTGTACAAAATGTCTTGGTATGCTGACGTCTTAAGAACTCCCTTCACTGGAATTAAGGGGCCAAGACCAACGCCTGACAAAAAACCCCACCCCTCCACCAAACTTTACATTTGGCACAATGCAGTTAGGCAAGTACCATTTTCCTGGCAGCCGCCAAACCCAGACACGTCCATCAGATTGCCAGACAGAGAAGCCTGATTCATCACTCCAGAGAACACATCTCCACTGCTCTAAATGTCATTGCTCTACACCACTGCGTCCGACGCTTTGCATTGCACTTGGTAATGTAAGGTTTGGATGCAGCTGCTCGGTCATGGAAACCCATTCCATGAAGCTCTGTACACACTGTTGTGTTAAACTGAAGACCATAGCTAGGTTCTATAGCTATTGCCTCTGCAGACAGTTGGTGACTTATATGCAGTGTTCGCTTCAGCATGCGCTGACCCCGCTCCCACTTTGTTATAATACCACTAACAGTTGACCATGAAATATTTAGTAGCAAGGAAATTTTATGGATAGACTTAGTGCACAGGTGGCAACCTATCACGGTACCACACGTTTGAATTCACTGAGCTCCTCAGAGTGACCCAAGCATTATGCCTGCCTTGGTGCTTGATTTTATTACACCTGTGGCCACGAAGGTGATTGGAATACCTGAATCCAATGATTTAGAGAGGTGTCCCAATACTTTTGGCAATATAGTGTATAAAGAGAGATTGCAGTACTATTTAAAAATACATTTTAGGGTTTTTATAAGTAATACGCAACTGAAGCAAATGTTGACTGCTTTAGAGAGGAACTGAACTTTCAAAGCTATTCCCAAAAAGGGCAGGTAGAGGACAAACCTGTAGTTTCCAGTATTGCCTGTGGTCTTTTTGTAGCTGATATTCTCTCATTACTGACTTACCGTGCCTTGTTCTGCACTGTCTCTGTGTGGGGGCAGCCATCTTAGCAAAGACATGAATTTGCTTCCATATGTCAATGCCGTCCAGCAAGAAGAACATTGTGAAGCACAGTAGTAATATCACCAAAGTTTACTCCAAATATCTTGAGAATAGCAGTCAGAAGCAGCATTAAATTCACACTGTACATACACCAATGAGCCATGACATAATGACCACTGAGAGGTAAAGTAAATAACATCTAATTCCAATGGCACCTGAAAGTGGGCAGGCTATATTAGCCAGCAAAAGATCATGTTGTCCCTGAAGTTGATTGGAGCAACTTTGACAAGGACCAAATTGTAAAGGCTAGACAAATGGTTCAGAGTGTTTGTGGAATGTTCCCGGTCTGCAGTGGTCAGGACCTACCAAAAATGGTCCAAGGAAGGAAAACCAGTGAGCCACAACAGGGTCATTGGGCATCCAAGGCTCAGTTATGCACATGGGGGAGCAAAGGCTGGTTTGTGTAGTCCAATACAGTAGAAGAGCTACTGTAGCCAAATTGCAGAAAAAGCGAATGCTGAGTCCCATAGGTGTCATTGCAGCTTATTGCGTTTGGGGCTCTGTAGCTGCAGACTGGTCAGGGTGCCCATGCTGACCTGTGTGCACAGCCAAAACCACCAAAAGTGGGCATCAGGACTGAATAACAGAGCAATAGAAGAATGTATATTTGAGGTGTTGACTTGGCCACATTCTTCAGATTCTTGGAGGCCCTACTGCCTCACATACTAAGAAGCTCACTTCTGTTTTATAGGAGAAATTGTGAACAAAAGTTCCATTTGTTAGAGTACTGCTTAGGCACAACTAACATTTCTCAATGCTTTCTATAACATGGCAAATCTACACTTAAGTTTAGGTCCACTTTTACGGATAAAAATGGGAAAACAAATTGTTGAATAAGCATTTTAAAATAAGGGCTAAAAAAGCCAAATGTGTTTTTAGCCCCTAATGGTTCTTTCTGGTGCAGCATGTAAGGCAAGCCATTGTGACTTGGGCTGTGCCTTGTGAAGCTGAAATTGTTGAATACACTGTTTAGTCTGGCAACACTCAAGAATAAATATGAGGCTGGATGAAGCACTTGGAAATATGAGGGATGTTGAAAACAACAACATTTTGTATTGCCTGCACGTTCATTGTAAGATGTTATTTAAACCTAGAAACCTGAATGTTTTTCCCTTCTTGTATAGGTCATGTTGATGCCTTTACTTCAAAGTTCTTCATGTTAGAAGAAGTCACTGCACAAAAACTAAAGGAAAAAGTCAGTGCATTCAAGTAAGTTTGACTGTATTGATTTTTCTTCTGTGGGTCCTGACTGTATTCCTGTTTACCTTGTAGTTCAGTGTGTACCCACTCTGGGGTGTTTAAATGTTGCATGCACTGTTCTCTAAATAAAATGCACGACTCCCCAAAATGAATGATGGTGTCCTCCTCTGACAACGCGGCTAGAAGGGAGACTAATTCGGGAGTTGCAGCGGGGACCACTTCAGAGACTAGTACTGATATTGACAAAAGAGATCACACAGAATGGAGCACTGTGTGTCTGTCAGTGATTGCTTTTACACATACTGTACACAGCCCACTCAATGGATGACATAGCGCTGGATTACACTAGTGCTTTCCACGGCAAGCCCTCACTGAAAGGCGTATTTGCATATAAGCAAAATTGTACCTGTTCCTGAACAGAGTTAGGTATGTAAATGTAAAGCGTATGTAATATCTGAGAGAAAAAAATTGCCCTATTTGGAGAGACTTTTGCACTATGGGCTGATCCACTCTGGTTGAAGGTGGCTGTATACAGCTCTATAGCCTTCTCCCTCCCAGGAATTACACATAACCATTCATGTACTGTGACTGGCAACTGAGGGGTAAGAGCACATGCACTGGGTACTGGCAGCTGAGGGATTACTTCACATAAGCAAAAGAACAGGTTTTGTGAGGTTAGAGCACACACATTGGATGCTGAGTGGTTAACTTACATAAGCTGGGTGCTTATGTAAAAATATCTGTCTAAAGATAAGTGCTGAGGAATTGAGAGTTGAGGAATGGTAATGAGGGGTTATCATAAATTGCCGGGACACAACACTGAGGCGTTAATACACCTGAGCTGGGGACTGGGTGTAAAGGTGTTAATGCTTTTCTGCTGGGGATAGGTCACTGAGGGCTTAATGACACAAACTAAATACAGTGTCTTGAAAAAGTATTCATACCTCTTGAACTTTTCTACATATTGTTATGTTACAATCAAAAACGTAAATATATTTAATTGGGATTCTATGTGATAGACCAACACAAAGTGGCACATAATTGTGAAGTGGAAGTAAAATGATAAATGGTTTTCAAAATTGTTTACAAATAAATATCTGTGCATTTGTATTCAGCCCCCGAGTCAATACTTTGTAGAACCACCCTTCACTGCAATGACAGCTGCAAGTCTTTTTGGGTATGTCTTTTCCAGCTTTGCACATCTAGAGAGTGAAATTCTTGCCCATTCTTCTTTGCAAAAGAGCTCAAGCTCTGTCAAACCGTAACCCCGCACAGGACGGCGTAGATGGTCCACAAAAGCAGGTGGGGCTCACTGAGCCATCCGAATTCGCCTGTTTTTGTGGACCATCTACGTTGTCGTGTTTGGGGTTACGGTTTACCTGGCTATTACCATTCAGGAGCTCGATGAGGGAATACGAAGAGGAGGAGGTTTCGCCTAAGTGATGGTGGTGGATTCTTGCTACTATCACTTTATACCTATGACTGGTCCATACCATCGGATGTGATGTTCCTGGAACTGAAGAGTAATAGTCTGCTGATCACCTGATGTGCTAACGTGTGCCAGATGATCCTCTGAGTTATCCTTTCGGATCCAGATGACCAGGAGTGGTTTGATATGCTCAAATGTGCGATTTATTGCGCTTTCTGGTTAGTGCAATATACATTAGCTTCCAGTGACTGGAGTCATGGAATTCACTTTATACAGATTTTGGACTTTATATTTATATATTTCTTTATTTGTCACAACTGCACTTTCTACGTCATATTTGGACGTTATTACCACCATCTAGTATAGTGCTTTGTGAGATGTTCAAAGCTTGGGATATTTTTGCATAACCTCACCCTGTTTTAAAAACTTCTCCACAGCCTTATCCCTGATCTGTCTGGTGTGTTGCTTGGCTTTCATGATGTTGTTTGTTCACTAATTTTCTATAACAAACCTCTGAGGGCTTCACAGAACAGCTGTATTTATATTGAGATTAAATCACACACAGGTGGACTCTATCAACTAATTAGGTGATTTCTGAAGGCAATTGGTTCCACTAAAATTTAGCTAGGGGTATCAGAGTAAAGGGGGTTGAATACAAATGCACACCACACTTTTCAGATATTTATTTGTAAAATATTTTGAAAACCATTTATCATTTTCCTTCCACTTCATAATTATGTGCCACTGTGTTGGTCTATCATCATAAAATCCCAGTAAAATACATTTACATTATTGGTTGTACCATGACAAAATGTGGAAAATTTCAAGGGGTATGAATACTTTTTCAAGGTGCTGTATTTGGCACTAGAGGGTGGATGTACATGCTCTTAAGATGACTGCATACACTGCAGACAGATCGCTGAGAATTTAATATACATACACTACAGACTGGTCACCAGTGGGTTAATGCCCGTACTCTTCGGATATGAAACTGAATAGAGAGCTCTGTGTATTGAAAGGGCATCTCATTGCTGATATAGATACTGGGTGTGATTGGCATTTGCTGGGGGCAGGATACAGAGGAAAGCCCAATGCGTATACTAACACACACAATCTTGGACTTCATACAATCTACATTTATTGAGAAGCATTGAGAAACTTACTTCTGCAGAGAAGGGGAAGAGCAGAGACTGATGCTGAAGTCAGTTGAGTGTAGAACCTCCAGATTATGTGTCTGAGCTCAGTGCATGTCTGTGGTGGATGACATGGACAGTGTTCAATATGCAATTTGTGTGGTATGACTATGACTGCAGACTAAGAACTCTCTGGAGGATAAAGTAGAGAAAGTCTGCGCTGGAGGGATACAAGGAAATGACCAATCTGTGCATTTGCTGTAGGTGGGATATGGGGAATGACTAATTTTTGTGTGCTGGAGGTGGGATATTACAGGGCAAAGATCAATGTGTGGGTGTGCTGGAGGAGGGATACAGGGGGAAGAACCTATGTGTTTGTGTTGGATATTAAAAGGGAAAGACCAATATTTGTAGGTCCTGGAGGTGAGATATTACAAGAACAAGACCAGTAAGTGTGTGTGTATGCTGGAGGAGGGATACAGGGGAAAAAACAGTGTATGTGTCTGAGGTGGGATCCTACAGGAAGAGGCAAATCACCCAGGGGTAATAATAAACGCTGACTTGGGTATTATCTTCAAATGGATAGTGAAATTGAGCTGTGAAAAGTAAACTCTGACCTAGGCATTATATTTACAATATTTTTTCTACACGACCCTGAAGCTTAAAATGATGGTAATTGCAATCTTTTATGTCTTAATTGTAAATTACAGGACACAAGACATGTAGTCATATATATAACCCCACTAACTGCTTTAGATGTCCTTAGATGATGAACCTCTTCTCTTATGGAGAAGTTTCTAAACAATTCTTTTTTATTTTTCTTCACTACTTTGACTGATACTTCTATGAAGATCCAACTGATTGTTGCTTCAGGCCCCCCTGGCAGTTTCTGGATTGATTATCTTCAATGTACATCAGGGGAACCATACCCGGATCCCACAGCATCGGGGCTGGTCTGTAATGATTTGTTCAGGCCATGTGATGCAACATGTGTGGTTAGCCTCAGGGTATTATACAGGTCCAGGGTCACGGTCCATTCCTATGCCACATAGGCCCTGGAGACCCATTTGCAGGTCTCGGGAACGAGCATGTACAAGTGCCTCCAGAGCAAGCGGCACTGAGGAAAAGCAGCAAAACACCAGGGCAATATTTTTTTCCCTGGCATTCGAGCAAGGACTTACACTGACATAACTCTGTTCCTCTAATTCTAGCTCCCTCTAAAAAGCCTAACAGACAACCTATTTGACTAAGGCTAGGTTCACACCTATGCAGTTTGTGTTTGAGCCATTCCTGCATTTGCGTTGCGTTTTTGCACCTGCATTTTTTAATGCATTTTTTTCCTTGTTGCTAGGCAGATTTAAAACACACCACATGCTTTTTACGACAGCATTTCCATTGAAGTCTATAGAACCAAAAATTCAACTTTTTGCATTCAAAAAGTCCCTGACCCTTTCCAAAAAACGCACCAGGTGAAAATGCGGAGATGTGAATGTGTCCTATAGGAAATCATGTTAAATGGACTGTTCTGCGTTTCTGCAAAATGTTGCAGAAAACACTTAGGTGTGAACCTAGGGTAAGGTAGATTTCATTGCAGCTATGTTGGATTTCATTTGAAGACTCTGCACTTCTAGAACCTGTGGTCTTCAGGGCTCAGAAGTGCTTTTCTGCCTCTCCACTACCTGAATCTATTCAGGAGTCTGAACCAACTTCTTTGAAAAAGATATTGAAGAATGAGAAGTAGACAGGAGAAGATAATGCAAATTTCATCTCACTCACGTTATCTCTGTCTGCCAACCACAAGTACCTGTTTGCTTGTTCAGTTTGCACCTGCCCCGGCGTGGTGGCTAGGCACTATAGCATTGTGTATAAGCCTGGGGGCAACACCCACCCACTAGAGTTCCTACCGGTATGCCTGCTTGCCTTAAGGGACTCAGAGGCTTGGGCTCTACAGACAGAGATCTTCCTAATCCTCTATCAGAAATGGGGAACACAAGATGTGGACAACATAGTCTCCAGACTCAACAAAAACTCAACATGTATTCGACAAGGTCCAGGGATCCTTGGATCCCTGGAGTGGAAGCCCAGGTAATTCCTTGGTCTAAAATTAGACTGGTGTATGCATTGCCTTCTATGAGGATTCTTCCTTGATTATTCAACAAGATAGAGGACGAACATGTCCCGGTGATCCTCATTGCCCCAAATGGGCCCAAAAGAAATTGGTACACAGATTCCTGGCAAACAAGCCTTGGTCTCTTTCAAAACAGGGCAGACTACCAGTCATAAGGCTCTCTTTTTCCAACCCACTTCTCAATCACTGGCTTTAAAGGCATGGCTTTTGAAATCCAGATCCTAAAGGGCATATTCTGTCTCTTTTCTGACTGAAGCTCAAAACATAATATATTTGTTTCACAAAAACTTTATTGAATATTTTAATAGTACTTTCAACAAGCAGAACAAAATACCTAAAGGTAATATTTAGAGTTATTTGTACAGCAGAGGCAAGGATATTGAATTCTGCTTGAGTATTACAGTGGCAATAGTAGACAAAGGCAAAATATTACAATCAACAGAACACCATGGGCATCACCGATAGCTTTGGCGAGGGGGATATTAAAGGCGTTATAGGGAAGTGCTCACATCAGCAGGTAGGAATGCCGGGAAGGGGAGGTAGAGAATGTAGCAAACTTGCTCATCAGAGATGGATGCAGATTCCCCCTTTTTATTAAAAGTATTCATTTATCCTTTTTTTCTCCTTCCCCCTCCCTTCCTGAGAGGCACAGTGACAGATGTGGGTGTGTTAAAAGTTGCTGGCAGGCTAGAGCAGCAGGAGGCCCAGAGCTACAAAGCCCCCCCCCAGAGAGACAGAGCCTGGCTGCCCAAGAACCAGTGTAATCTCTCACCTCGTAACCAAGATAAGGCAGCTTTTCCCAGGAATTGAAAGAGATTGTAACCTCATAAAACCTACCAGCTTACGTGACAGAATTAAATGAACATTCCTCAAGTCAGTTTGTCCCCTATGTTTCATATCATGGATTATGAAGATGTTGGTTTTAATTCAGAGTCCGCCCGACGATCCCTCCCTAAACAGAGTATTGGTCAGTTACTCAGAGCCAGCCCCCCTGCTGGGGACTTTAAAACACAGGCTAGCAGGCCTAAAAAGAAGTTGAAGACATCTCCCAATTGTAACATCAATATACCACCTGGGGAGACCCTTTGCTCTGAAACTTGGATCCGCTTATGGCTAAGGCTTAATTGGCAAGTAACTTAACCCTTTAACTTCCTCTCTGATATCTCTTTGCTGTGCTATGGTTCTTTGTATGTATGTGTGTATATATATATATCTTAGTTACATCTTTTTCTGTAAATATTTTATTGCACCTGTTTGACTCTTTTAGTAATAAATCTTTCTTTCTGAAAGTGTTAAACTGTTTCTAAAGTGCTTAATTGCAATTTACGAATTCCTGCCTCTAAAGAGACGCTACTGTGTTTAATCCTCTGCCCAATCGGCCTGCGGTGACCGTATTGGACATACGACTTTTCAGCCATTACAGTGTACATTTGATAAAGAGAGTTTCCCCTTTCTCTGTACAAAAAGGGGTGGTGGCAGTGAAGGGTTAGTTGCGTAATTAACCCGACCCAGTAACAAGCGCATCCAGGCTGCAGGCACAGATTGAAATCCATTAGCTGGGAAATCACTGTGTAGGGTGCAGCTGGGTGTGGCATTGTTACGCATGTCACATCGCGGTCTGGATCGGCCGGTTCTTCAGTCACGAGCTTGGTGAGAAGGTCTGGGGTCTGACGCCGCGATCGTGACATATTGGTGGCTGCGGTCATGAGATTGTCGCATGTTGGTGGCGGCGATCTTGCGATCGTGACAGAGATTAGATTGCTTGGGCCACCCACCAGGTGCTGCAAATGTGCACAACTGTCCTTATAATGTAAATAGGGTTCAGTCAATTGCCAGTTTTGTGTTATAAGAAATCCAAGGGTCGCAGACCTTCATGAAATTGGTGTGAATGCCCTCTAGAATGGAAGTGAGCTTCTCGTGGACCATAGTCCCCAGGAGCCACTGTTGGACCTTGGCAAAGTTGAGAAATGGTTGTCTCCAGGTCCTAGCCAATGTCTGCTGGGCTGCCAGGAACACAAATCCCACCAGCTTTCTCTAAGTATAGAGCGACGAGATATTCAGTACTTACCTGCTCACATCCAAAAGTGGGTCATGTTAGGGTAGGTCTACCAAATGTGGAAGACTTCCTGCTGCCTCCAAATCACATTTGAAAATGCTGTCAGGGATGTGTACAAACATGAGGGGGTTTATAAGCATTCTCTTGGTCTAGGATTTTCAAGAGCATTTGGAAACAGCCAGATCTTTTGCCAGGTGGGTTCGTCATGCCTGATAGCGAAGTCTTTAAAGCACAGTATTTTTCAATGAGACTACATTGTTTGCTTGTGCTGTTTAGTAACATGCAGTTTGCTTTTTGCACAGGCCAGCCAATTGCCTCAATATTCTTCGGCATATTTTAAAATGGCTGATTCGGTGAGTACTGCATTGACCTTTAACTGTTTCTTTTTTATATTTTGAGTTGTTTTAATTTTCCATGCCATTGTTTGCTATTCCATGGTTTTGTATATTCTGTACCATTTACATTGGACTGCAGTGCAGCTTACCCCCTTAGATTTAGTGGTGTGTCGAGAGGGCAGCAGAACATAAAAAACAATTCCTGGACGTTTAGACATAAACATTTATCGAATATCACATTTCCCTGCAGTTTCACTGAGCACTTTCTTATTGATTGTGTCCGTTTGCAAATTGTCTTGTAATGCAAGCCATCAAAGGCTACAAAACAAGAGGAAATGTGTATTTGGCAGACTGATACACAGCTATACAAACAAGCCAGGTGACAGAGTCTAATAGGGTGTAGGAGAGAAGTGACTCATTCAGGAAGGTTACTCTCTACAGTAATCTTACACCTGCCTTTCTTTCATACCTGTAACAGTCTGAATAAATGTTGCATGAAATAATGTTAACTGGTGAAAATGTAGTCACACATCAATAGCATTTTTCCTTTTTCTTTAGTGTTTCTGTAAAAATTCTGCAGTCATGAGAAAAAAAGTTGTTTTGAACATGAAATGTCATTATTTTCAGAGGAGGAGGACATATATACTGTACCATTTAGTGGCAATCCCATTGTCCTGGTGTATAATACAAAATAGTGCACCAAGCAGCCATTGTATTAAAAATCCATTTAAATATTCTAGCAATACAAATGGTTTGACATTGCAGAACAGCCCTGCATGTGATACTAAGATATGCAGTAGGTCCCATTTCATATTCAGAACATCAAATATAGCCACTATGCACTGCACTTTTGGGATCATATGTAATTCCATCACTTAAAGTGTTACTAAACCCACAACCGTAAAATCAGTCTGTATATGCAGTAAAGCATACTTGTTATACTCACTGTGGAACCTAAGGGGTTAATCCTTTGCATTGTGTGAAAAAGGCCATTTGATCCCAACTTCTCTGCTCCTCCTCTTGTTCAAATGTCCAGTCTTAGCTCATGATAAGACAGACAGAACAGTTGCCATTCTGCACATGCTCTAGTGTATTGCTAGAGAGGTTTTTTTCCTTGGGAGAGTGCATGTGATCAGCAGAAGGCCAATCAGCACTGCCCAGACAGAGGTTAGGGGTTTTGCATCCTCCTAGTAGAAAGAAAACTCCTCCTACAAGCTTTAACCATCTCTCTGCTGAAGTCACAAGACTGCTCTAACTGCTTATGAGAAAAGGTATTTAGTAGTAGTTTATATTTACTAAAATAATTGCACTTCCATGTTCTGTGTACTGTGGGAGACCAGATATAGTGAATGCAGGGACCTGGGTTTAGTAACACTTTAAGTGTCTCGTGCTCACTACAGCTCCTTTCAGTTCACTTTCTTCCTTGTTATGCTAGGTCACACCCTTCAGAAACCTACCTCCAGGTAATCAACAGGCCAAAGGCATTTAATTAAGTGCAGGCTTCGATTGCTGTTTTGTGTTCAGGCATAGGCCCCTGACTTTTAGAACTGCCATCTAAACATAGGATATATTTGTCATTACATGGGATAACGTATATAGCACTACCCCCTTTGGGGTCACTGAGTTTTGGTTCTCCCTTATAGTCCATATAGTCCTGCACAGACGGGCAACACGCATTTTCTTCAACACTTGCACACTGTAGACAGTAAACAGTCCTCGAGCTTGTTTTATTTTTAATTTTATTAAGGGGTATTGAACTTGGATGGGGTTGAGGGGTGTATGGGATGCCCAAGTAACTGTGAGGACAGATCTCCTCAGCAACTATGTACAAGTCCATAGACAAGCAGTCTTTCCTTGAAGAGCTCTCCAGCCCTTCTGGTGTACCTCCTCAGACCCTAGATGAATCATCCTCTTCACCCACCTGCCTGAGGGAATCCCTGCGCAAGCGGATCCAAAAACTGCCACTGTAGTAGAGCAGCCCCAGATGAGGAGCTAGTTGGGTTTGCCACCTGACTGCCTTCTTCCTTTATCTGGCCCGGGGAGTGCATGATTACTCACTCAGTCCCTTCCTTTACGCTTGTTGGGTTGGTGGCTGCCTTCAGGCCTTACGCTGGGCTGGCTCCTTCCCTGCTTCCCCGGCTGCCCTCTCTCAGGGGATGGTTAAGGCTGAGAGATCCTTCTTCCCAGATCCAGCCTGTAAGTAGGGCCCTCCCTGGGCCCCCTCCCAGGCTCCACACTCCAGCCTTCTCACATCATCTTCCACCCAACACTGACCATTTTCCTGATCACACGTTCTCCTACTTAAGGGCTTTCCTGACCCCATGCCAAGCCTCCTACTTGGGGATTGGTGAAGATCCCTTAAGTATACAGACCAGCCCCTCCTCACCTCCACCCTCTTGCCTTCTAGAAACTTCTCAAGCTCCTAAATCAGGGGGAAGTATCGGGGAACTGACCTGCAGAGCCCTCAGCGCTGACCTAAAGTTACCGGGCTAATTCATCCCAGGCTGACTCATACCAGGCTGCTATCCACCCTCTAACAAAATACCTAGCTAGCTCCCCCTGGCTAACTAGAGGGGAGCTACACATATGTTTAGATGGATGTTTCTGCTGTTTAGTAGTGGTCAAACACCCACATGCAGGAAAAAATGTAAATAGCAAAGGAAGCAGAGTTTCAAGTTAGGATATAGTATGTAGAATGTCAGTGTTATCTTTCCTTTATCAAGAGGGGATTATATACAGCTGCAGCATAAAACCCTCTGTAACCCTTATGCTGCCATCGCCATAGCCTACACAGCAGAATAGAACTTTTTACAACACCTAAAGTCATTAACTTTTGTGAGTGGTTCACACCAGAACATGGTGCAGGAAAGGTGTGCTGCATGCATCTTTCAAGCACCATGCTGCAATACCTTGCCCTTGCAATATTCTGCGGGGGCCAATGTATTGTTAATAGTACCCTAAACTTGGATCACAAACGTAGTGTATTTTGCAGGCACCAGACCGAGTGGTACTGCAGTACCATACAATTTGGTGTGGCGCATTTTTAAAAGTAGTGCATATGTTTGGTGCGATTTGCAGCCTATTAAAGTTACTGGGCTGCAAAATCGTACTGCATGGAACTGTAATCCCGATGTGAGCTGGCCCTTATGACAGTTGCATTTGCCTAGAGTAGAATTAAACCCTTCTTTCTTTTACAGCCAAGGAAGCTGCCATTTTAGCCTCTGTTCTGTTTGATCTGCAGTTTCCATGTTTCTGCACATGTGATCAGTAATAACAACGCCATTTGATGGGCTTAACAGTTCAGTTGAGTGCACGTGCAATTGTTAGTTATCATTCACAGTGTGCCTTAAATGTAACTGATTTGAGAAACCGTTAAAGCTATAGGTTTAATTATGCCTTAAAGTGACTTTGTTGCAATAATAGAAATTCTAAATAAATGCAGACCTGCATTGAATACTGTAGATAGAATACTCACATGTCCTTCTGCCCACATCATCAATTATCTTCATTAACAAAGAAAAAGCGCTGGATGAAGATCATGCAGGATCTAATATTTTTAGATTGTTAGCACTAACAAGCAGGGCCCTCTGATTCCTGTATGAAATTGTATTGTAGCTGTACTGTCTGCCCTCATGTTGTAAAGCGCTGCGCTAACTGTTGGCGCTATATAGATCCTGTATAATAATAATACTTCAAGAAGTGTTGAGTTCTCAGTCCCCCACCATACGCTGTAGTTCCTTTCACCATTCCATGCTTGTGGAAATTGTAAAAATTCTATACACTTCATGCTCTAGATACAGAGAATGAGCTTAGTGGATAAAAATGATTTTACTCAAAGACCAGCTTAAAGAAAAAAAAATAATTAAATGTGAAAAAAGTAAAAATGGGAAAAGGTAATAAATAAGTTTTCCATTAGATTTGATCATAATATACAGAATATCATCCTCACGTTAGGGTAATCCGTTAACACTGTAAAGATTTCTGATGTAAGTTCTAGAACAGTATAGAAATTTGTTTCTGTTTGACTTATTTCTGCTAGTTTGTGGAGCCTAGATACATTTGTTTATTTAGGTAGAGCACCATGCTGTTTTTCTAGTTTTAGAAGAGTATGGAGGGGTTAGAGTGTGTTGTCAGGTTGTTATTGCTGCAGCAGTCCAATTCATTCAGCACAGGAATCGAGGGACACCTTTGAGTGAAACCAGTCTGGTGACAACTGTCAAGAAGCGATTTTCACTCACTTTGGGGAGATTTTCATTCAGTTTATATCACTGAAGCCATAATTACGGTCTCATGCATATTGAGCTTTAAAAACACTTTTACAGTCATTTGGTGGTTTTTTTTTTTTTTTTCAGCCTGTAAAAGCACCTCTGTGTTAGCCTGTGTATCAATGTTCACACGTTTACAGGCGTATTAGAAGAGGAACCTTTACAGGCTCACAAAAAAACATCACCAGGGAGTTCAGGAGAAGAGATTTTTAGCAGGAAAAAAAATACTTGACATGCCTAAAAGCTAGATGTGTCAAGTGTTTGAGCATTACTGCTTTCCAGTGGCCAAAATATTGAAATCCATTAATGCTAAAGTGCTTGATGTGCCTAAAAATGTTTAAACGCATGTGCAATACACAGCTTTAGGTGCATTTTTTTTTTTTTTTAAAGCTTTTTTCCTGCCAGCAGTAAAAGGTCTTCAGAGGAGAAAATCAAACAGCCTGTGTGCAAAAGGGGTAAAGATCAGGATGGTAATCGAAACCTTACAGAGGTTCTAACCTTTCACACTCTGTTGGGGGAAAAAAAAGAGTTGTCAGTTCTAAATTTACTTTGATACAAGTTTATATTCTCCTATTTGGTAGTTAAGTTTTTGCATGTTTCATTAGTGATTATTGTGTATTAATAAAAATACGGTTTTGATCCCTTTGGTCAAGAATTAAGCTGTATAGTACTGTTGAAAAGCTTTAGGCATTTGTAAAGAAAAATGACGTTAAAGTTTTACACAATACTGTATATAATTAAGAATTCTAATTTCATTGTGTGTATCTTCTACTTTCAGAAGATATGTGGTTTTGGAGTGTTTATTGAATTTTTACCTCTACAATGTATGGTTATTTGTGCATGTGAAAGTGACTTGGTGGACATTTGTTTTTTCACCTAAAGATAGATAAAATGATTATGATGTGCATCCTCTTGCATAGATGTATAATGTTCACTGTCAGTGAAGTGTTCATTTCTATTATTAATGTGTATTATATTCCCATGCAGTCTACAGGATGGGTCTTACCTTCTGAGCCATGCCTCTAAGGACTCCTCAGTTTGCCTCTATAAAAGTAGCACTGATAAAACAAGTGGAACTTATAACCTGCATGAAGCCCACAGTAACCTACCTCAGGCACCTTCCTCCCTCTCTGTTCCCTGGGTGCCACTGAATCCCAATCTGTTGTTGCGCTACCACATCCATCATGGCCGTCCACCTTGCACCTTCCCACCTGTTCCAGCAGTGAACGCAGGAAATCCTAAGGTAATTACGGTAGATGTTCTGTGTTTGTTTATTCTTTGTTGACATAAATTGTTTAAATTGCATAAAAATATTCAGAAAATCTGTCCTGAGAGTAAACAGACTGTCATCGATGAATTCGCCCTCTAAAAATGCTGGTTGGTCAGCTGACCTGCTGACCCACTGGCTTCATTACCTACTAAGTAGATTAGGAATTTTATGACATTGCTGTAACTATTAGCAATGCACCTGTTCTGGGTCAGTCATTCAGAAAGTATTGAAGCTGAAGACAGCCAAACAGGCTAGGTTCACACCTTTGCAGTTTGCATTTGATCTGTTTTTGCGGTGCATTTTGCACATGCTTTTTTGCCGCATTTTTGATGCGATTTGCGTTTTTTTTTTTTTTCTTGGCAGATTAAAATACAAAACGCATCAATAACTTATCAAAAACGCACTACATGCTTTTCTCCTGCATCTCCATTGAAGTCTATATAACGCAACTTTTTGGTTTTAAAATAGTCCCTGACCCTTTCCATAAACTGCACCGGGTGAAAATGCGGAGATGTGAACGTGTCCCATAGAAAATCATGTTAAATGGACTGCTGTGCATATCCGCAAAACGCTGCGGAATACACATATTATTATTTATTATTATTATACAGTATTTATATAGCGCCAGAAAGGTTTGCTCAGCGCTGTACGTTATAGTGGGGGACAGAACATGAGACAATACAGTAACAAAACAATACATGAGGGGTTTGAGGGCCCTGCTCTTTTGAGCTTACAATCTAGGAGGGAGGGGAAAGTGGTACAGGAGGAAGTGGCTGTGGGGGATGGAGTGGTAGGAGGAGTGGAGGAGATTGGCTGTTAGGTGAGGGTGGGGTAGGCTTCCCTGAAGAGATAGGTTTTCAGGGTGCGCCTAAAGGTGAGGAGGGTAGGTGACAGTCTGATGGATTGGGGTAGTGAGTTCCAGAGGATGGGGGAAGTCCTGGAGAAGTCTTGCAGTCGGGCGTGGGAGGTGGAGACCAGGGAGCTAGAAAGTAGGAGGTCTTGTGAGGAGCGAAGATTACGGGTTGGGTGGTATTTGGGTATCAGGTCGGTGAGGTAGTTTGGGGCAGCGTTGTGAATGGCTTTGTATGTCAGTAATTTAAATTTAATGCGTTGGGCAATCGGGAGCCAGTGGAGGGAATGACAGAGGGGGGGTGGCAGAAGCGGAGCGGTTGGTAAGGTGGATGAGTCTGGCCGCTGAGTTCAGGATAGACTGAAGCGGGGATAGTATGTGATGAGGTAGGCCAGTGAGAAGGGAGTTGCAGTAGTCCAAACGTGAAATAATGAGGGAGTAAATGAGTTGTTTAGTAGTGTCTGGGGTTAGGAACGAACGTATTTTGGAGATGTTCACATAGGTGTGAACCTGGACTTTTCATGTGAGAGTCAGTGATGGCAGCCAGGTATTTTCTCTCAGCACAGGTTTCCTTTATATGAAGGTATCCAAATTTTAGTCACTAAGGTGTTAACAGAGGACTTCTGTGCAGAACAGTGCCAGAATCATAAGGTTTTCAGCAAATAAATGCAAAATTGTGTGCACATTCCCGACACTGGAGGCAGACATTCTCTGCAGGCTTCTGTGTAGGAGGTGTCGTTTCCAGATCCTGACCTCTCTGTGAAATACATAGCAGCTGATGCCAGTTCAGCTAAATCTTTCACTTCTGTGATTTTTTTATGTGTTGAACTATGATATGGAACCAACCTGAAAATCAACCTTAAAAAAGAAAAATCTAAATTACATTATGACAACGTCAGGCTTAAAGCTCTGGTACAGCAACTTTTATATAGGTATATTCCTCAGTAGATACAAAGGATAGAAAAACCGCTTTGTGTGCACCAAATGATGTCTTTGCAAACCCAGATATTACCTCGTATCCTCATCACTGTGCTGCACATTTCCTGTAAAGAGAGCAGAGCTGTGGGTGGGAACCCAGCATAATCAACCACTACAGTCTGCCGAAAACTACGTAGGGGCAGAGACCAGACCACCCTACACAAGGAAAGAGAGCAGACGTAAACAGGAAACATCTGTCCAGAGGGAAACTGCAAGAATTTTTTGATACAGGGTTACTTCATAGATATGAGGGAAATACACAAAAGGATACCATGATTTAAGTACGAATACACATGCCTTTTGTTTTTACACAGTATTTGTTTAGCCCAGATTTTACATATCACACTAGCAATTCTTCTGTTGGCTACCTTGCAAGTGTTATAGTCATCAAAATTCAGTTTTCCCTTTCTCTAAAGGAAGCCACTCCCTCATTGGTGAAAACACAGCAGGCTTTCAATCAGTAGCAAAGTAGCAGAGTTGGGTTGACACTCTCCTGGTTCGGGCATCAATTCCGTAGGAGAAATGAGTTGACTTCTAGTATGACATTGCCCTTACTCCCATGTCACTGAGTCATTGTCATGTGTTATGACCCTAGCTTTTTTTTTTGAGATCATAAACATATTCCTATTGACTACTGTTATTCATATAACTTGAAATTCTTTGGTCCTACCACAAATGCCAGTTTTATGCAGTGTATTGTTTTCTCAAGGAATACCAACAGTGATGAGTAGAATGATTTGTGGAGAATCAGACCAATTCCTTGGAGAAAGAATTTTCCTATGTTTTGGCAACTGTATGTGGCATTTTGCCTCCATTTGTGACCATATTGGGTATTTAGTTGGCTGTTCATTCAATTTAAACTTCCACTAGCTCATCTTATCCTTTTCAGCAGTCCTATGGCTGGGGTGAGTTAGTTGGGCATAGCCACCATATAAAAAGGCATGTGATCTCCCCGCAGCTTTAATGTGTGTTAATGAAAGCAAAGTACACAGGTAAACAGCTGGAAATACTGGCTGCCTAACATTGTAACCCCAAATTGGGGTTTTGTGCTCTTATTGATATGCTGATATTACCATGTGACTGTTTTCTTTCTTCAGCTTATTTTATAGAACGTTACTTGTAAGACCACCTTGTGGGAGGCAGGGTAAGGATTAGTCCTCATGCACACTGGATGTTTTTACAGTGGCTGTTTTTGGCTTTTTTGATGTTTTTTTCTACAGCCAGTAAACTCTCCAGCATGTTATCTTATGTCTCCATGTACACACAGACTGTAATCAATGTTTTTTTTGGCAGGGGCGTTTTTTGGTTGGAAGAAAAAAAACAGAACTAGTGGGTTTGTAGAGGAGTTTTTTTAGCTGTAAAAATCCTCTAACGCTGAAAAATGCGGTACATCATGGTAAATCTTGGTAAACCGCATTTTTGGATGTTTTTTTTGACCAAAAAAAAACCCTCTAAAAAACGCTGCAGAACGCTAATACAAAAAACGCTGCAAAACTCGCATTTTTAATGTGACTTTACACAGCTAACGTTACCAGCGTTATTAAAACACCCCGTGTGCATGGAGCCTAAGTATGATGTGTTTAACCTCCTTGGCGGTGTTCCCGAGTGTAGCTCGGGGTAGAATTTCTATACCAAGAACGGTAACCCCGAGCTACACTCGGGCTTACTATGCAGCGTTCTCTGGGGGTCCCTGCAGCACTTACCTTGTCCTTCGCTCCCACGATGTGTCCCCTGCAGCGTCCCCGTCCATCTCCTCCGGCGGATGCCGGCATCTGACTTCCGTGTTCCGGTCCCCGTGACGTCGGAACGTTCGGGCGGCGGAACCGGCGGGAAATTTGAAATTTTTAAAAAAATGACATTTTTGCTGTCATTGCTTTTTCACTGCATTTCACATACATTGTGTCCCCACTGCTTTGTCCTGTGCCCTGCCTGCATTTTGACTGTTCTTTCTGCCTGGAAACTTAGAAAAGTCCATGGCGGCCAAAAAGCGTCCCTTTACATCAAAAGCGGTTTTAGAACAGCGATAGTAAATCAGAACCACTTGCAGAATTGAGTGATAATGATTTGTGGGGAAATTCGTCATCAGACACTGAAAACGATTTTGCGACTTTGCTCATCGATGTGCGAATTTGCCTCTGTATTTCAAATTTCAGTGTTTTTGGTTTGATTATATTATTGAATTAAATGTATTATTATTATATTATTATTTTTTATGATTATTTAATAAATTATAATTTATGATTTCGTGTTTCAAGTTTTATCATATCCGGAATGTTTAATAGACTCTTTTTCGGATAGATTTCAGTGAGTTATTCCTAAAAATTACAGCCTACAATTAAAAACTACATATTTCCATGCAAAAAAATGGTACCGCTTGCAGCACAAAATTCCTGACATGATCATACCGCCAGGGAGGTTAAGGAACCTAAGTGTGATGTGTGTAAGGAGCCTAAGTGTGATGTGTGTAATAAAGGCCAGCAGATGAGAGAGCGAATGCTCAGCTTCTGTAAGCTGCTTCAGATGACTGCAAGTACCCATATATTACACAAACAGTGCAGCAAGGGTACTCACATCCATATAACATTTTTTTTTTTGTCTAAAGAATTGTCAAACCGCGTAAGCTTCTAATTTTATATATGGATTTTTTCCCAATTTTCCCAAATAAAATATTTGTGACCTCATACAATAGTAAACCTATCTGGCTACTGCAAAAGTATTGCTTTAAATTGTGCAAGACATTACATGACAGTATATTGTTGAAAGCTGTGTTTCAAAAATGTGGCAGGATTGCATTTAGCTTTTATTGCTTTTGAGTTCATAAAGTGCTGCACATTTTATGCTTTGTTGCCAGTTGTCACACATTTCTCTAGTATGCATGTGGTTAGTTTAACAAAATGATGTGGACTTCCTCCATTGTGGAAGACCTGGCAGTAACAAGAAGAAACGTAGCTGCACCTAATATCCTGGGAATTATTTCCATTTTCTCTCAAAGTTACAGTGCGGTCAGTTCTAAAAGCTACAGTCATTTCCTTTGGCTTCTCAGTCACACCAGGGAGATCCAAGTGTAATAGGTCCAAGAGAGCACTAAATGAAAGTCCTTAGGAGTCCAAAGTCTTTACTGCTTACCTGGTCATAACAAGCAGGG